ATAGTCAAAGCTATGGTTTCCCAATGGTCATGTATGGATGTGAGAGTTGGACCAGAAAGAAGGCTGAGCACCGAAGAACTGATGCTTTTGAACTGTGGTGATGAAGACTCTTGAGAGTCCCTTGGACAGCAAGGAGATCAAAGCAGCCAATCCTAAAGGAAATCAGTCCTGAATACTCATTGGAAGGACTGATGGTGAAGCTGAAGCTCCAATACTTTGGCCACCTGATTCAAAGAACCAACTCACTGAAGGCAGGAGGAGAAGGGGACAGAGGATGAGATGGTCAGATAGCATCACCAACTCAATGGACATGAGTTTGAACAAGCTCCAGGAGATAGTGAAGGACAGGGAAACCTGGCATGCTGCAGTCCATGGGGTCTCAAAGGATCAGACACGACTGAGAGACTGAACAACAATAGTTAATTTACGATATTGTGTTAATTTCTGATGTACAGCAAAGTGACTTAGTTATACACATATATACATTCTTTTTTATATTCTTTTCCATTATAATTTATCCCAGGATTTTTAATATAGTTTCCTGTACTGTACAGTAGTACCTGGTTGTTTATACATCCTACATATAATAGTTTGCATCTACTAACCCCAAACTCCCAGTCCCACCCTCACCTACCATCCCTCCCCCTCAGCAGTCACAAGTCTGTTCTCTATATCTGTGACTGTTTCTGTTTCATAGATAGGTTCATTTGTGCCATATCTTAGATTCCACATAAAAGTGATGTCATATGGTATTTGTCTTTCTCTTTCTAGCTTACTTCACTTAGTCTGATTTTCTCTAGCTGCATCCATGTTCCTGCAAATGACTGCAAACCATCCTTCTTATGGTTGAGTAGTATTCCACTGTATATATGTACTACGTCTTTATCCATTCACCTGTTGATAGTTGTTCAGATTGGTTCCATGTTTTGGCTATTGTAAATAGTGTTGCTATGGACATAGGTGTTGGTGGTTTAGTCGCTAAGTCGTGTCTGACTCTTGTGACCTCATGGATTGTAGCCTGCTAGGCACCTCTGTCCATGGGACTCTCCAGGCAAGAATACTGGAGTGGGCTGCCATTTCCTTCTCCAGAGGATCTTCCCCACCCAGGAATCAAACCTGGGTTTCCTTCATTGCAGGCAGATGCTTTACCGACTGAGCTACGAGGGAAGCCATGAACACAGGTGTGCATGTATATTTTTTAATTATAATTTTCTCCAGATATATGCCCAGGAGTAGAAATGCAAGATCATTCTATTTGTAGTTTTCTAAGGAACCTCCATACTGTTCTCCAGAAAGTGGCTGCACCAACTTAATTCCCACCAACAATGTAGGGGGATTCCCTTTTCTCTACATCCTTTCTAGGATTTATTATTTGTAGATTTTTTTAATGATGGCCATTCTGACTGGTGTGAGGTGATACCTCATTGTAGTTTGACTTACCTTTCTCTAATAGTTAGTGATACTGAGCATTGTTTCATGTGCCTATTGGCCATCTGTATGTCTTCTTTAGAGAAATGTCTATTTGGGTCTTCTGTGCATATTTACCTTGATCATTTAGTCTCCCAACATATCAAAGACCATTTCTCAAGCTTTGTCCATTATCCTAGATGGACTTCTTCTAACACAGTGTGTGTAGTTAGTCGCTCAGTCAATCCTAAAATTCATATGGAAATGTGAGGGACTCACGATAGCCCAAACAATTCTGAGAGAAAAAAGAAAAAGCTAGAGAAGTCACATTTTCTAATTTCAAACTCACTACAGAACCACACCAATTAAGACAGTTGTGGTTCTGGTATAAGGACAGACATACTGATCAATGAAATAGAATTTGAGGGTTCAGAAATAAACCTTTAACATGTATGGTTAACTTCAATAATATTGCCAAGACCATTCAGTGGAGAAAATAGTCTTTTCAACAAATGGTATTGATACAACTGGATATCCACAAGCAAAAGAATGGAGTTAAACCCCTGCCTAATACCATATTCAACAATTAATTCAAAATGCATAGTAAACCTAAAGTAAGAGCTAAAAACATAAAACCCTTGGAAGATATAAATCTTCTGTGTTCTTGGATTAGGCAGTGGTTTCTTATAATACAATAGTAACAAAAGAAATAATAAATAAATTTGACTTTATCAAAATTTAAAACTTTTGTGTAAAAGATAATACATGGAATGGAAGAAAATAATTGCAGATCAAATATCTAAGGTACTCATACCTATTATATGGCAAAGAACCACAACTAAACAAGAAAAAAATAAATTAATAATAGACAACAATATCACTTTCTATTCACAAAGATAACAAAATCAAGAAGACAGATAATAACAAGTGTCGGCAAGGATGTGGAGAACTCAGAACCCTCATTCACTGCTGGTGGAAATTAAATGGTGTAGCCACTTTGGAAAACAGTTTGGCAGTTCTTCAAGAAGTTAAACATAGAGTTATCTAATGACCCAGCAATTCTACTCCTAGATACATATCCAAGAGAATGAAAACATATGTCTACACAAAAACTTGTACTCAATTTCACAGCAGCGTTACTCATAATAGTAAAAAAGTGGAAATAGCTCAATTGTCCATTAACTGATGAATGAGGCAAACAAGAGATAGTATATCCATATAATGAAATAGTATTCAGAAAAAAAGAATGAAATGCTGACAAATGCTATAAGATGGATAAAACTTGAAACCATATTTCTGAGTGAAAAGAAGCCAGTCATAAAAGATTACATGCTGTATAATTGCATTTATATGAAGTGTCCTGACTGGACAAATCTATACACACAGAAAATAGATTAGTTGTTTACAGGGAGTAGAGGAGTTAGAAGTGGGGAGTGATTGCTAATGAGTACAGGGTTTCTTTTAGGAGTGATAAAAATGTCATTGAATTAAATAGTAGGGATGGTTGTACAACCTGTGAGTATATTGAACTGTACACTTTAAAATGGTATATGAATTATATCTCAATAAAGTTTTTATGATAAAAAATCTTGTCAGCTGTGGCATTCCTACGCCCAGAGCCCTCCAACAGTTACCCATTTCACCTAGAGCAAAAATTAAAGTCCCGTCTACAATCTGCAAGGCCTTGAGAAATCTGCCCCTACCCAGCAGATCTCTGACCTCATCTCCTACTTTTCTCTTCAGGCTCACTCTGCTCCAGCTGCACAGGTATGCGTCCACCCTAAATGTCCTCCTTGTACATGTATGTGTGGCTCAACCCCCTCACATCCTCTGGTCTTTACTCAGAAGGTATCTTTTCAGGAAGGCCTTCCAGTCACTAAACTATCTACTCTCCTTTCCTGCTTCATTTTTCTCCACAACCCTATTACTACCATATGCCATGCTTCAAAGGGTTATTGTCTGTCTCGTGGTGAAAGAGTGTTGAGCTCCCTACAGATAGCACTTTCGGTCTCTTCTAGAACAGAGCGTGGTACATGCAACTCAATAATTATTTACTGAATGAATATATCCTTATTTTTAAGGTGAGAGGATTCAGGCACAGAGAGGTTAAACAAATGGTGAAGCCATAATTTGTACTCAAGCAGTCTGAGTCCACGATCCTAACTGCTATCCTAACCGATAAGAATTAAGAAGTTTGGTAGCATGGAAGGTACTCAGGATTACTAGAAAAGAAGGGAGTTGTACAGGGAATGTCATGCTTGATGGTCTGTTAGGATCAGCTACAGAGAATGACCAAAGTGAAACTGGACAGTACTAACAGAGAAAAAAAGGTCATTGTTATTTTGCACTCCTACTTCCCTCCCCCAAAAAGAACTTACATTCTTCTCTTCCTTTTTCTGAATCAAGTAGCTATAATTGATTCGGAATAGATGATTACTATAACCAGAAATTATTCACAAGGAATACCAGAAGTAACATGAGCCAAATCAAACTCCTGACACTAGGAAAAAATGGGGAGCAAAACAGTATCATTCAATCTTCTTGGTGGTCTGAAGATCAGGAGAGAGGTTTTAAAAACAGCTGCAAGTTACTGATATACCAGCTATATAGAAACCCAGCAACAGATGGACTCACTAAGGTGGAGTGGGTTGTGTGCAGGGAGAGGAAAGAAATGGTCAAGGTCAATACTTATAGAAACAAGCTTATAGAAAACAATACTTATAGAAACAATCCTGAGAAAGAGAAGCCAGAAAAACAAACTGTAAAAAGAAAAATATGCTTTCTATTCACTCAGTTTTGAATGTATTTTTATTTAAAATTTTTTCAATTGTATTATATTTTCAGATCTAATAAATCTGATGTAAGGCCATCATAGAAACAAACTCACCTCATAGAGAGTGATATCTATACCGGCATACAGTATAACAGTCAGAAGACTAGGAATGTAGCCTTTGTAAAAGCCTGTAATCTTTTCAAGCTTCCAGATCTTCCTGGCACAGTCCAATAGCTCAGAGTACTGTCCAGTTTTACTTACAGCCAAATTAGTTTTTAAAACCTGAATGTAAAAGGATGTTATAGGGTCAATGATCAGTTACCCAACCCAGGGCAATCCTATAAAAGTGTGAGTTACATAATTAAAAAGAGAAAAGAATGTTAGGTCAAATTATATTTTCAGTGACAGTATACCTGCTATCATTTCCTACTTATTCTTGGAATATTTTACTTTTGCATTTTCAAGCTTCCAGATCTTCCTGGCACAGTCCAATAGCCCAGAGTACTGTCCAGTTTTACTTACAGCCAAATTAGTTTTTAAAACCTGAATGTAAAAGAATGTTATAGGGTCAATGATCAGTTACCCAACCCAGGGCAATCCTATAAAAGTGTGAGTTACAGAATTAAAAAGAGAAAAGAATGTCAGGTCAAATTATATTTTCAGTGACAGTATACCTGCTATCATTTCCTACTTATTCTTGGAATATTTTACTTTTGCATACTACTATGTAACAGTTCATGGGGTCACAAAGAGTTGGACACAACTGAGAACTGAGCACACACACATACACACACATGTTACAAACACAGTGCTTAAACACAAATACAGTGCGTTTACCAGATTCCTGAACTTAACTTTGCAGGAAGATAAAGTATCTGAATTCAGCTGTTCTTCTTTCTGTATAAATTACATACTAGTGTAGCCACAGCTATTGCACTATAAGTCAGATAAGGAACCCAAAATAGAATATAACTGGTCCAACTGCTATGGAAAACAAGTTGGAGGTTCCTCAAAAAATTAAAAGCAGATCTACCCTATGACCCAGCAATTCCTCTTCTGGTTATAATAATCAAAAGAAATGAAAACAGGATTTCAAAGAGATATATGCACCACTATGTTTATACATTTAGCACTATTCTGTAGCACTACTCACAATAGCCAAGATATGGAAATAAGCTTAATGCTCATCAACAGATGTATATACAACAGATGTATATACAACAGATATGTATACACATATATGTATATATTATAATAGAATGTTATTCAGCCATGAAAAAGGAGGACATCCTGCCATTTGTAGTGTGCTAAGTGAAATAAATCAGACAGAGGAAGACAAGTACAGTACAGTGTCATTATGTTTAATTTAAAAAGCCAAACTTGCAAAAAGAGAGTAAAATGGTGGTTACCAGGGCATAAGAGGTGGGGCAGGTCAGATATATGCAATTTAAGGGTACAAACTTGCAACAAGTAATAATTAAGCTCTAGAGATCTAACACACAGTATAGTGAATATAGACAACAATCTTGTACTATAATCAACCATCCTGCTGAGAGACTAGAACTTATTTATTCCAACCACTAAAAAGAAAGAATAACTATAAGTGTGATTGTAGTGCTAAATATTGCTATAATATATAAATGTATCAAATTAACTGTTGAACACCTTAAATTTACATAATATTATATGTCCAATATGTACAAAAAAGAAACCTAAAAGAAAAATGAAGCTCCTACAACCTCCATCTCCAACATAAGTGTCCTAGTAAACTGATATTAGGATTTCACAAACATCAACACATGTATACATATACACACAACTTGTGAATGGCAATAGGTTTTTTAAACCATATATATATAAATGTGTAAGAGCATACACACAAATACCAACACAAACAAAGACCCAAAAAATGGAAAATAAAAGACTAAGGAACTTATCCAGATGAAAGGATGTTAAAGAGACCTGACACATGATCTGAATTGGATCTGGAAAAAGAAATTACTATAAAGACAATTATTAGAACAATTAACAATTAATTACATTTCAATAAGGACTATGGATTAGATAATAGTATTGTACTGCTGATAAATTTCCTGATTTTGATAATATATAAAAGAAAGTTCTTTGTTCTAAGGAAATTCACACTGAAATTTTTAAAGGTAAAGGGACACAACCTTTCCAACTTGCTCTGTCTCTACACAAACACACACACACACACACACACACACACACACACACCTATATGGAGAGAGGCAAAATGTTTATTGGAAATTTGTGTAGAGTATCCAGGGTTTCCTTGGACTAATGGAAAACACAGAAAACTCTGCTGACACTGAAGTTTAGCATGAAAGAATAAGCTATGTTTCTTTACCAAGTATGTGGGCCTTAATTGTTATACTATTTATTCATTTTTCACTGAGAAATGCTATGGTAGAATGTATTTGCAGGAATCTCCTTATCTCCTACTATATCAGTTGCTTCTTTACTGTGCACACATAAAGCTACACAATCTGAAGGACATACTGCTTATCCTAGATTATATATAAATACTGCCAGATAAACACACAGGTCAATTTATACTTTGAAGAGAAAATAATCTTAAAATTCAAAAACCACAAGGAAAATCTGTAGTGTTTTTAAAAATTGGATATTTCATTCTTATAAAGGAGTAAAGAAGTATCATCATGACAGAAAAATATATTCTGAATATATTTAAATTTTTTACATCTGCTCTGACTCATAGCTCTAAAATTAATCACCTTCATAATTAATCCAGGATCTCTGGGTGTTCCTTGTATTCATTAACTTGGGATTTAGAAAAAATAAATAATAGCAAAACAAATTAGAGACTTTAAAACAAAAATAATTTAAATCCTCAGAGGAATTCAAGAGTATATTTCATCTAGGAGGACAGTTCAATATTTGCAAATCAATCAATGTCACACATTACATGAACATTGAAGGATAAAATCACGTGATCATCTCAAGATGCAGAAAAAACTTTTGATAAAATTCAACATTCATTTATGATAAAACTCCCAAGAAAGTGGGCATAGAGGGAAAAGTGAAGCTGAAAGTGAAGTCGCTCAGTCATGTCCAACTCTGCGACCCTGTGGACTGTAGCCTACCAGGCTCCTCTGTCCATGGTATTCTCCAGGCAAGAATACTGGAGTGGGTTGCCATTTCCTTCTCTAGGGAATCATCCCAGCCCAGGGATCAAACCTGGGTCTCCTGCATTGCAGGCAGACGCTTTATTTAACCTCTGAGCCACCAGGGAAAATATAGAGGGAATATACCTCAATATAATAATGGTCATAAAGACAAACTTACTGCCAACATCANTATTTATATGGCTAATTGTAAATAATGCCAGAGGAGGCAAAATGTTGGAAGTACAATGGAGAAAAGACAGCCTTCTCAATAAATGGTGCTGGGAAGACTGGATAGTTATATTCAAAAAAGTCAATCCAGACTACTTTCTTACATCATTTACAAAAATAAGCTCCAAATGGATTAAAGATTTAAATTTAAGACTTGAAATTATAAAACTCCTAGAAGAAAATATAGGCAGTGTACCCTTGACATCAGTCTTAGCAATACTTTTTGTATATCTCCTCAGGCAAAGGGAAACAAAAGCAAAAATAAACAGATGAAATTACATTAAATCAAAGGGCTTTTTCACAACAAAGGAAGTTATCAACAAAACAAAAAGGCAGCCTACTGAATGGGAGAAGATATTTGCAAATGATATATCTGATAAGGGGTTGATATCCAAAATATACAAAGAACTCATATAATTCAACATCAAACTCCCCACCAAAAAAATAGAAGACCTGAGTAGACATTTTTCCAAAGAAGACATACAGATGACCAAGAAACATGAAAGGATGCTCAATATCACAAATCATCAGAGACATGAAAATCAAAACTATAATGAGATATCACCTCACACCTAACAGAATGGCTATCATCAAGAGACATCAAATAACAAGTGTTGGCAAGGATGTGAAGAAAGCGAACCCTTGAGCACTGTTGGTGGGAGTATAAATTGGTGCAGCCACTATGGAAAACAGTACAGAAGTTCTTCAAAGAAACCTAAAAATAGAACTACCATACAATCCAGCAACACCACTTTTGGGTGTTTTTCTGAAGAGAGAAAAAACCCTAATTTGAAAAGATATATGCACCCCTATGTTCATTGCAGGATTATTTACAATAGCCAATATATGGAAGCAACCAAAGTGTCCATCAATAAATCAATGGATAAAGAAGACATCATACATATACACAGAGAGATAAAAAGAAAAGCAAAATCCAAAATTATTTAATAGTAGAACATTTCCCAGAGCCGGAAAAAGCTCATCAAAAAGATCTGAAATTAACCAATGAAAGAAAGGGGCCAGAATCTACACATTTTATGATAAAATTTCAGGAAAACAAGAATTAAAAGAAACTCTTAAGAGTTTCCAGATTATTTAATAAGAGTAATGTAAAGTGGTTGGATATAAGTTTAACTTAAAAATTCAGGAGTTTTCATATAAACCAGCAATAAGCATTAGCAAAATCTAATGAAATACATTAATAGCAACAAATACCACAATGTATCTAGTAATATAAAAGCCTCAAATGCATAAGACCTGTATAAGAAAATTATAAATTTTATCAAATAATATGAGAAAAGATCTAAATGGAAAGGAAGACATATCTCATTCCTGGGCAAAAAAGAAATTCAATATTATAATTGTCATTTCTTCCCCAAATTCACTAAGTGCAACTAAGAGTCAAAATCCCAAATTGGTTGCTTTGTTTTTTTTAAGAAACTTGGCAAGCCAATTCTAATGTTCATATGGAAGGGAAAATGCAGGAAAATAACAACAACAAAATGTCCCATTGGCAGATGAATGGATAAAGAACATGTGGTATGTGTGTGTATGTGTGTGTACATATACACATATATATATACATACATGCAACGGAATGTTACTTAGCTACCAAAAAGAATTAAATAATGCCATTTGCAACAATATGGATGGACCTAGATATTATCATACTAAGCAAAGTCAGAAAGACAAATACTATATCACTTATATGAGCAAATATAAGTGATATTTCTATTTTAGTAAAATAAAACATGATACAAATCAAATCAACAGAAATGCCAGCTTAGATATCACAGTTCTGGTAACACTGCCCTAGCAACAGATTTTCTCTACTCAATAGCTACTAATAACAAGAGAATTCTGGCTCACTTGAAAAAAAATTAGCCATAATTTTCATTAAGGATAACAAATTTTTTCAATAGCACTTACCTCTAAGCGGTAAATAAAAGACTGAGAAGTGGCACCAGCCAAAGAAGCAGAAGCAAATTTCTCAAGTGTTCCTAATTTGGCTCCTTCAGAAGAAAGATACTCCTTATACTGAATTAACAGGAGTTCAAAGGTATGTTAGCATTGAGAAAATTCAAAGAGGCATGCAAGTCATTCAATATCAGTGGATACCTAGGCATTTAATTTATAGTTAAAAACTATAATCTACATTTTTGTGCTGCTTAGTCACTCAGTCAAGTCCAACTCTGTGATTCCATGGACTGTAGCCCACCAGGCTCTTCTATCCATGATATTTCCCAGGCAAGAATACTGGAGTGGGTTGCCATATCCTTTTCCAGGGGATCTTCCTGACCCAGGGAAGACCCAAACCCGTGTCTCTAGAATTACCTAGTACCTAAATATAGTCATGTATATTAGATAGGAGACCTCAATCTTAACAGTAGAGACTTCATCTTGTACCTCAATTTGCTTAGAATAAGACATACAGCAAATAAGGTATATAGCAAACATTCAACAAGTGTTGATTATGATAAGCAATAAATGTAAAGAAAATGGAAAACTTTGAGATGGAAACAACTGAGAACCTTATGCAATATGTTTTGATGGCAACCATGTTATATTATAATGAAGCAACATGACATGACAAACAAACCCAGTATTCTTGCCTGGAGAATCCCATGGAGAAAGGAGCCTGGGAGGCTACAGTCCATGCGGTCACAAAGAGTTGGACATGACTGAAGCAACATAACATACACACACACACACAATTATATAATAATAATATAATTATATAACTTTATAGTAATGTTCCAACACAGATATTAACAACTACCTCCCTTTGTTTTGTAATNTTTTTCTGTTTTGCATATAAGGTTATTGTTACCATCTTTCTAAATTCCACATATATGTGTTAGTATACTGTAATGGTAAGACCAGATCTTAACAGCTATTTCAGGAGCAAGCTTGAGAACATTCGTACCATTTCCTCTCCACCCTCTTTCATCATCTCTATTAAATGGCTCATTATCTTCACATTCTTTGTCTGTAAACTCTTAGAAGAATTTTGAAAATCGTAGTACAATGTGAAGAACTTTGAAAACCACATATTGTAATTTTCATGTGATAGGCAGGACAGAGTTGAAGTTCCTAAAATATGGAAGGTCTCTCCTGTTGGGGAAACAGCAGCTGTTCAGGTGATTAGACAGCTTTGGAGGCATGTTTATTTTAATCCCTGCACTGTAGCTTAAGAAGAGGACACCTTACACATGGGACACAAGATCATGCTGCAGACATGGTTGCTTTGTTGCCCCCTCCTCAGAGGAATGAACAAATGACTCTCTCATCAGGAAGAGTGAAATCAGGTGTACATTTCAAGAGAGTGTCAGGGAAGCAACATTTCTGAAAAGTTAAGGCCACGGAAACTCAGAGAATTTATTGCTAACAAGCAGCTATGAGGCCTTTAACAAGGGTGATTAGTGTGATCAGTGAAAGCAGAGAAAAAAAAGCAGAATCCAACTAACTCTGCGGCCAAGATCTGAAACCTTTCTCCAGGGCATGTATTAGAAAAGAGATATACACTTTAGTCTTAAGACAGTATCAGAGAATGTGCTCTGGACATTGACTATACTGCATTAACATAAGAAAAATTAAACCCAGAGCAATAAATATCTTCACTGTTATCCAGTGAAGATAACAGGAAAAATAAAAAATAAATTCAACAAATATATAGTCCAGTAAAAAAAGCTACAAAAGTGATTTAAAAATAAGAGGTATTAAAGAGCTATGTATCTGTTTTTAAGGAGACTGGCAGCAGCCTGATGGCTGTAGTATGATAGTTGGATTCCTAGTAAATGTGGAGGGGATCAGCAGGCTCATTGTAAAACATATATGAAGAGAAAAGGAGGAAAAACTGACCAAAAATGGAAAAAAAGCAAGAACGAGTATGAAGATAATTACCAACTCGCTATTGAGGAGAAAAAGACACAAACTCAGAATGATACTTGTATTTTACAGCCATAGTAATAAATAGATTTACTTTAATTTGTGAATAAATCTACAAAAAAGAGTTGAAATTCAGTCAACATATAACATAAGGAAATCTTTCTGAACCGACTGTATACACTCACTGAGCTAAGCCCTTGCATACTCACTCTCTCCTACACCAGCCACTCTAGCTCCAGGGAGTCCCAGGTAGACTCCACTTTAAATGGGTGCCTGCCTAGGTGACCATTAATCAATCTACCTACCTGCCTTCCTACCAGCCAACTGCCCTCTTGTGTCATCCCTTGGCCTCTCTGTTCAGAGGATTAGTAAGATAAAAATACAGTTGACAATATTCATTAGAGTATTTAGATCCTTTTGGAAATTTTGGTGCATCAATTATTGTCTCTCTTGGCAGCAAGAACTTTTATAAAATAATATGACCTGATATTTGGGAGGATACAGGAAAACAGGTAGTTTCATACAGTACTAGGAAAAGTAATGTATGATAAATGTGATTACATATCAAAAGCCTTATGGAGTAACCATCATAGTCAACAAAAGAATCCAAAATGCAGTACTTGGATGCAATCTCAAAAACAACAGAATGAATGATCTCAGTTCGTTTCCAAGGCAAACCATTCAATGTCAGGGTAATCCAAGTCTATGCCCCAGCCAGTAACACTGAAGAAGCTAAAGTTGAATGGTTCTATGAAGATCTACAAGACCTTTTAGAACTAAGACCCAAAAAAAGATATCCTTTTCATTATAGGGGATTGGAATACAAAAGTAGGAATTCAAGAAACACCTGGAGGAACAGGCAAATTTGGCCTTGGAATACAGAATGAAACAGGGCAAAGGCTAATAGAGTTTTGCCAAGAGAACGCACTTGTCATAGCAAACACCCCCTTCCAACAACACAAGAGAAGACACTACACATGGACTTCACTAGAGGGCCAATACCAAAATCAGATTGATTATATTCTTTGCAGCCAAAGATGGAGACGCTCTATACAGTCAGCAAAAACAAGAGCAGGAGCGGACTGTGGCTCAGATCATGAACTCCTTATTGCCAAATTCAGACTTAAATTGAAGAAAGTAGGGAAAACCACTCGACCATTCAGGTATGACCTAAATCAAATCCCTTATGACTATACAGTGGAA